GAGACTTGGATGAAGACCATTCTTTGGAGTGTGCTCTGTCGCATACTCTCTCTTTTTCAAGAACTCGCTGTCACTACCACCTCTCCTCTTCCCCTTCTCCTCTCTCTTTCTCTCTCTCTGTGTGTGTGTGTATATATGTATGTGTATGTGTCTCTCTCTCTCTCTCTCTCTCTCTCTCTCTCTCTCTCTCTCTCTCTCTCTCTCTCTCTCTCTCTCTCTCTCTCTCTCTCTCTCTCTCTCTCTCTCTCTCTCGCTTTCGGTGCAGAAAAAATTTCTCTTTGTGGGTGTGTTTTTGCGTCAGTGTCAGTCCGGTGCTTCTTGCTTCTCGCAACACTGGGAGCCGTGGCTCTGCGTGTTTTGTTTTTGCTTGCTGCAGTGGATTGAAGAACTGAAGGAAGTGCAGAACGTGTCGCCTTGTCGCATAAGCCAGTGGGCTTCTGCGCACATGGGTGTTGCAGTGGGCATAGCGTTTGGTGTATCTGCAGTGTTGACGGCAATTGTGTCTTCTTTGGTGTATCACTTTGCCTTTTATCGATTGCGGCGCTTTCGACGGAAGCGAAGCGAGCAGAACACGATGAACAACAACCCCAACACCCCCGGGCATAATCCAGAAAGACTCGACGAATCGGTAGGAGGGGGCACGTGCGCGACTCTTAAGGGACGAGTGAAGGGAAGTGGGGATGCAAGAAGGTTACTTGATGCATCTCAGTTCATGCCGCCGCTGCGGAGGACGTTCAAGTGACGCCTTTGCAGAAGGTGTGGCTTTGCATATATATACATACATGTATATATGTATGTATATGTATATATGTATGTATATGTATGCATGGATGTGTATATATATGTATGGATGTGTATATGTATGTATGGATGTGTATATGTATGTATGGATGTGTATATGTATGTATGGATGTGTATATGTATGTATGTGTATATGTATGTGTGTATGTATACGTGTATGTACATGTATATACGTGTATTTGTGTGTATATATACATGTGTATTTATATATAGATATACATATGTATATACATGTGTATGTATGCCATCAGGGCATCCGAGTTGACCCTGTAGATACAGCTGAGGGGTCAGGGGCGAGTTCAGTCCCTCCGCCAGATATTTTTGCGGCTCCTCAGAATGCATGCATGCAACAGCAGCACCCACGACTTGACTCGGCGTTTTCAGATTCTTCGGGGAGTGTGCTGTCAGAGAGATGCGATAAAACTGTCAAACAGAGACTCTATCACGCCTGGAAATCCATGCCGTGGTTCAAAGACATTCATGCGGAGGTAAGCGTAGACAACACCGCCACGCGTTTGCCTTTTCTACGCACACACATAGGCACACATACATACATATATATATATATACAGACATACACATAGGCATATATATATATATACATACACACATACATGCATACATACCAAGTCTCCTGCGAGTTGGACGCAAAGCAAAGTGTTTCAAATGAAGAGCTACACATGGGCTATATGTGGCAAGCATGAGTGTCAATTTGCCGTTCAAGAGGCATAGAGGAGGCTGCTTCCACGAGCAGTGTTGACGGCCCTCCCTTCCAGCTCCCGCTTCACTAGGCCTTGTCGATTGCATGTGGATTTATATATAAATATGTATATATATCAATATGTATATATATGTATGTGTGTGTTTTTGTGTGTGTCTGTACATACGTGTTTGATGCATGTGTATGTACGTAGGAGTCTATGACGGGTAGGCATGCGTATGCCGTCTATGTGTGTGCGCCGCTGATTTTGCATGCTCAGGGAGCCGAGGAGAACGAGTTCGTGGAGCGTCTCCAGAATGACGTCGAAACCTTCGATGTGGAGACAGAAATCTTTTTCTCCGCCTGTCAAGTGGCCTCAGCGTGCATGGGGTGTATCGCGCACAGTGCGAATGACACAGCCAATGCAGTGGGACCATTCGCCGCAATTTTGACGCTCTATCAGCACGGCATAGGTTCATCGGTAACCTGCCCGTGGTATATTTTGCTCTTTGGTGGTCTTGCAATGTCTATGGGCCTTGCACTTCTTGGATACAGAGTCATCAAGACTGTGGGGGTAAAGCTCGTCAAAATCACGCCTGCACGCGGCTTCTCCATGGAGCTGGGCGCTGCGTGGGTAAGTGTTGGGCATGGCTTCTTCGGAGCAGACTCATCTTCGTGACGTGACACGACGGAGCTAGCTAACGAGCGGCTAGCCAGCGAGTGGCTAGCTAACGAGCGGCTAGCCAGCGAGTGGCTAGCTCTAGATCTGCACATGGGTTCGAGGGGAGAGGAGAGGAGGTGTATAAGGATATACGGTGCTCCCTGCTCTTCTTATTGGCTCACTTTCTACTTGCTGCCTTGTGTTTTTGTTTTTGTGTGGAAACGTGTCGTCATTGCTGGATCATGGCCTCAGGAGGGGCGGGGAACTGTTGATGTGGTGTGCATGGGCTGTATATGCATATATATATATATATATATGTATATATGTATGTATGTGCGTCGTGTACATGTGTATATTTATATGCATATACGTATTTATGTATGTGAGCGCGCGTTGGGTGTAGGCGTGTACGTAATGTGTATGGATTATGCATATCTGTGTGTGGATTATGCAAGCAAGCGTAGGGTGCCCCTCAACGAACAGCGTATACATGTGTATGTGTGTAGTGAGTGCGTGTGTCGAAGCTCGGTAATTCTATGATGGCTTCTGACGGATGCTTGCGTGTGCTGCTCAGACTGTACTTATTTTCAGTGCTGTAGGCATTCCACTGTCAACGACGCACTGTGCAGTGGGCAGCACTGTTGGCGTCGGCTTGTTGGAGCCGCAACAGTCCCCGCTGCCTCTCCGCGAAGGATTGAAAACGTGCCCCCCTCGCTTTCCATGCCTCAACACCGCTTCTGTCAACTGGAAGCTCTTTGGGGGAATGGTCGCTTCTTGGATAGTGACGATCTTGTTCTCCTGTAAGAAGAGCATATGTTACGGCCCTCTTGTGTCTGTAAAGAAGCCATGGCACACTCTCACTTCTTATACATGGATCTGCGCTGCTAACCGTCTCTTCTATCTCTACCAATCTATCAATGTCACTCTGTCTCCCTGGCGCTGTCCTCTTCATAAGAAATAATTGTATCGTGAGGAGCTTTTTGGCGTGCTGCCGTCCGTTGAGTGCATGTCTGTGTGCTGCTGCCTACGGTGTATGTGTGTGGTCCTTCCTGCAGCGGTAGTTAGCGCATCCCTTTTTTCCTTCGCTGCATACTCTCCGCGTATTTCCATTTGAACTCCTTGTGCGGCGAAGCCTCTCGTTAAATCGATATGCCATTAAATAACGAAACCAACAGAAAAACGCCTTGGCGTGGGGTGTCTAGGCAAGGGGAGGTGTACCCCTGCCTCCTGGCAGCCCCCTTTCTCCCGTGATGAAAAGCTAATTCTTCTCTTGCCCGTCGCTCGCGTGCTCTGCAGAAGCAGCAGAACGTCTTCCTGTATGTACATGTACCGGGCAGAGAAGGCTTGCGTTCTTAAGGTGTGAGGGCAGCTTCGCGCTTGGGGTGTAGGCGTTCGCGTCTCTCCACCATGCCTTGCCAACACGCAGCCTTGGAGGACGGGGAAAGGGAGAGGGGCAAAGGGGGAAGAAGAGTGGCTTTGGAGACTTAAGGGGGAAAATTTGGCCCTTGAAGGGTTCAAAAAAGATAATTTTAATGGGAGCGTTCGCAGCAACGGATCTCAACGCGCGTAGAGCAGCCTAGCTGTGAAAATCGCCCCTGCCGTCCACGCACTGCTCTGCCCTTGCTGCGTTGCACAGCTCCCCGCATGCCTTGCCATCCGCAATGGCGTCCTTAGCTGGGCAGCGTCTGACGCATTTTATTCAATGAATAGGTGGGAGACAAAAACTGCCTCTCGGAGCAGGTCGAGCAGCTTAGCGCGCAGTTTTTTCTGCTCGAACCTGCCTGCGTCGCAATGTGCACGCTGGCACTTCGACGAGGAGAGAGCTTCCGCATCCGGCAGCAGCCCTTCCTTGCGCAGCTGCCCAGGATCGCCGCTGTGTGTATATCGTCGACCAGACTGCGTGACGCAAGACGGCGGAGCTTGCGAGGGGTGGGCTCGTGCGAGTTTCAGAGAGGACGCCTCAGCACTGCTGACGCCGTCTCTCAAGGGGCTTCCACGGCACTCTAGGTTGCCTGGGAGCAGGCAGTCTTCGACACGAAACACTAATCAAAGACGTTGATGCTGTGGCGCCCAAAAGCAGAGGCTGGCTGCTTGGACAGCACGTACTTCATGTGATACACAGTCAAGGTCTTCTTTCCACGCAAGAGGGAGACGTAGCTAGGGCACACGGTGCGAGCTGTTGTAGATGCGCGCGTCAGCATCCCCGTGGCGGGGGCGAGCAACACGCCTTGCTGCAGACGTGTAATGTCTAGGAGCAGGGTGCTCGAGGGGATTTCTCGCCAAGGATTTCCTGGCAGGAGAAGGCGACTCGTTTTGCGCTTCAGCCTGGCCTTGCCCACGAAGCACATCGAGGGGCCCTGCTGCCTTGGATTGACGTGCATCGAAGATCGCAGAGCCGACAGGGCGTCTCGCACATTCGTCTTGGTGTTGGTGAAGTGCAACTCGATGAGCTTCCGCTTGCATGTCTTGACCAGCAGTCCAGTGCAGGACGCCGTCACCCACACCGGCAGCACATGCATCTTCTCTGAAACCTCCATCGGCACGATGTGCTTGAAATTAGACTCGAAGCACGGGTTGGCAGCCTAAAATCGCCGCAGGAAGGAACGCATGCAGGCATGCAGGCAGGCAGGCAGGCAGGCGGTGCAATGCAACAGAGAACGGGAAAAGAGGGCGATCTCGACAACGCGCGAGGTGCTGCGTGTGGAGGCGCAGCCAGCTGCTCTACAGGCGTAGCGCTGCAGCTAATATGGTGACTGCCCCCTTATTGTCTCAGCAGACCCCTCTCTCGGCAGTAAAGACGCGTTTGGCTAGGGCAGAGACGGCAGTAGGGCCTTAATATTTAAAGCGCGAGTTGGTCAATCTTCTGAAGGGTCTTAGCTTAGCGTGTACTGCTAGGAATCATTAGTTCAGGATGATGAATCGCTGACTTCCGATTTTAGGATATTTTGCAGAAACAGAACCAAATTCACGGTCGTCTCCTTGCCACTCTCCATCTCCGCCTCCCTGGCTGCCCACCCCAGGGCCCTTAACGGAGTACCCAAATCAACTATGGGCAGCACATGCACCTTCCCTGCATCGTCCTTCGCGATCGCTGCGAACGAGGGCACTAAAGCCCACGAAGACAAGCTGCACTGCTGCATGGAATGGAGCGCTTGTCGCATGAACAAATGCGCAAAGCGGTAAAGCGTTGGGTTGGACCCATTGGGAATCTGCACCTCCTGTATAAAACTCGTCTTGTAAGGAGACTCAAAGCTGTACGCCACAGGGCCGTCGCTGTACGGCTCAGCTTCATCTGAAACGTGCCTCTCCAACGATGTAGGCTTCAGGATCAGCAGCTGGAAGCGCAAACATCGCAGTCGTGCAGCCATACACGCGCAGAGCATTCAACGCACACCGTAGCTAGCGGTGTCTTCCGCAATGTACGGAGACTGCATGCATGCAGTTTCCGTACATTGCCGCGTGGCCTCAATGGGTCAAAGCGCGTGTGCAGACACCCGAGCACCCCACGTGTACGAAGCCTTGGAGTCTGGCTGACACCTGGCAGCAAGCGCGCCGCTAGTGACTGTATCTGCACATCTTGCAGTGCATGCGCTGACACTTCCCTGCTTGGGACCATCTCTTTCTTCCACACTATCTCCCTCACTCTGCCACTATCGCTTCACTTCCCTTCCCCTTTGGACGCTACATGGACTGCTCAATGCAAGCGTCCCCCGATGAGCCTCACCTTGAGAGTCGCTGGTTGCATATTCTCATAGATCGATGAAGGCATAAAGGTTCCCAGCCGGTTGTTCAGCGTTCTCGTGAAACAGGGCGTTCCCTGCAGCGACCCCATAAAAATGCAAAAACGTCGTGCTAAGCAGCTTGATCTAGGGCGAACTATGACTTGCAGAAAGCAAAACTATTCTACCGCATGAAACCTGATGTAGGCTTTTTTTCAGCAGGCAAGGCTCATGAAGGTTTTCTCGCGGGCATATACGACGCCTGCGATGTACCGTGGACCCGAAGACCATGTCTTCCAGGATGAATCGAATTTCCTTTAAATCTCGGAGCGGAACGCTGATATCCTGATGGTTCATACTGATGAAGCCCTCATGCGCTTTCTCGTAGAGGGCCTCTATCTTCAAGCGGTGATCGAACCAGTTGCGCGAGCAGCCGGATGCCGCGGCAGTCGATGCGTTCAGGAGAAACATCCGTCCCAGCTGACCAACCGTTGGATTGTGTCCTTGTGGAACCTCCAGCGTGTGGACGAATAGGCTCCAGCGTCCGTTCGTTCGCTTCCACAAAGATAACACCTGAAGAGACCGGAGCGCAGCCGCAACCAGCTGTACGTACACCGCAGCATGGGCAGTGGACACCTGTGCGCGGCTGCCGCACAGACCCCGCGGGCCCACGCAGTCTGAGAGGGCGGCGGCTAAAAACGTTTCTTATAAGGAACGGAGCGCAAGTGCAAGCTGAATATCGAGATCCAAGCGTTTCTTTCTCCGCTCCCCTACTACGCATGCCGATCCGCAGGGCGAGCGACGAGGAAGCAGTTCAAGAAGGCGGCAGGGGAGCAGAGTCGCACCTTGATGTGCTTGTGGCCAAAGAGGGAGCCTGGCTGAACAGGTTCTAGATCTTTGAGTGCGAGCATTGCGGCGCGAATTGCGGGGTCTCTGAGCTCTTTAATGGACTCAAGCGACAGCAGGAAATCCCGCGTGTAGTCGTAAGCCTTGGTCAAGTACGGCTGACGCAGCCTCAGGGGATCGCCTCCACTCCGCTCCCCTTTGTCCTTATCCGGCGCCGGCGCTGCGCTGGGGTATGGAGAATGCACAAAGTAATGCGGGAGCGGCCTTGCCTGGAAGGCATGGAGGGGCTGTACGGGCACTGCGTAGAGTGGGGGGGTCCTGAAGGCGTAAGGCTGCTCCGCGCCAGGCGCAGGCACGGCGTAAGGGTCGTAAGTATATCCAAAGGCAGGCGTCGGCGCATACGGGTTTGGAGGTCTGTTGGGGGAGGCTCTACAGAGTTCGGGGGGCGGCAGGAGCCCGAGGAGCAGAAGCGCTAGCGGCAGCAGTCTGAGTACGTGGCGAGGGCTTCTTCGCTCAGGAACAAGCCGAGCCGGCGACATGGCCGCTCTCCACTCTTCTGTACGGCCTACCCTCGCGAGAGCTGCGGGAGGGGGAGCGGCAGGCTGCAGTGACTCCCCGCATTCACCTGTGCGCCAAGTTTCACCGGCGCGAGAACCCCGAGGAGGGCTCGCGGAAGTGCGCCAGCCATGCATTGCGCTACGGAGACCTTCCGCGCCTCTCTGCGAAACTGCGAGACATAAGGTTGAGGCTTGGGGGAAATGACGGGGGCGCAATGGACAGTGCAGCGAGGAACACCCAGATGGTGTTCTCCGACAGACTCTAAAAAGAAACGGGCGTAAGCAGCTTTATAATGCGTGCGCTGTGGCTGCAGTCGCACCAAGAAGAGCGCAGCTATTTGAGGCCCCTGCAACCGCACCAGCCAGACCCTGGCCCACGGGTGCCGCCGGCAAGACTTTCATCCCCTTGTCTAGCTCTGTCTCGAAAGACGCCTGAATGACTCTGACGCCCAGCTGTTTCCTCAATGCTGCGCGGTCGACGCTGTACTGCGCAAGCTGGTGGGAGAAAACGGCGCAACAGACGGCGTCCGTCGGCAGTGGTTGGCCTCGGGCGGCTGAGACTGCGTGAAGCCTTCGAGATCGCAGAGGCACCAAAAGGGCGCACTTGCAAAAAACCATATACAAACACCACGGTTACTCCGTAAATAAACATAGCGGGTTGTCTTTGACGCTCGAAGTGACCCCTATCCGAGTGCATGTTATGCGAACACCCCGTCGCTTGCGCGCGGCTTGGCGGCACGGCTTCGAGAGCGGCGATGCAGCCGACATAAAATATCTCCCTACGATCCTTGAAGTATCTTGCAATTTTGTAGATCCCGTCATGAGAAAATCATTTGCATGCAGCTACTGGCCGATACACAGCTTGGCTGCACCCGGTGTACAGACAAGCATACTTGCATTTGGGCTCCTTTGAAGCAGTGCAAGGCACGCGCCAAACGCCATTGACCAAAAGGAATATCAAGACTCAGCAACGCCTCTACTTTAGAGAATGATGATCAGACTTGTCCTCTTGAGGGCTGACAGAGTCAGGTTACGTGTTTTACTGGTTTTTGCATCGTTTTCGAAGACTGCGCAGGCGGCCAATGCTCTTCGCGCCCTGCGTCGCAGCAGAAGGGCCTGATCCGTATCAAAAAGATAAGCTCAAAATAATCATACAGTAACAGGGAGGAGGCCGCCAATTGTGGAAGCAAGGGTAGAAAGAGATGCGGATGGTGAAAGACAAACCCATATGTAGAACGGTGCTCATAGAGGCTATGTAAGATGAGAGGGCTATAGGGACAAATTGCGTGTTGTCTGTTCGGGCAGCCTATGTGTAAAACAAAAGAACAACTACTTCTATGACAAAGCGAGCAGCGAAGAACGGGCGCCTTTGCAGAATGGGCATGCTTCCTACCCATCCAAAGCCACAATGCACTGCCCCAGCGGATCCAGAATGCTGATGACACTCAAAAAAGGTTGTACCTTGGACTTGCAGCTGACTAGATCACAGCGCATATCTCTCTCCTCTGTCTTTCCATACACATCCATTCAAGCCAGACAAATTGGAAAAGAAAAGACGTAGCATAGTGATTCTTTCACCTGGGGAGAACAAGGTACTCCTGTTGCCCCATGAAATACAAAGCAGTTCCCCGTTTCTCCGCGTGGGCAGGTAGCTATTCAACCCATAGTGTGCCAGGCGTGCGTCGTAGAGAACTCTACACGCGTGAACCCGCCGCTCCCCACAAAAACCATCGAAGCAACACTTACTCCCCGCAGTGCCAACTCGCTAAGCGGTGCTCTACGCTCTCTGTAGAGCGCACTGCATTGTCTGCTAGCTGAGGGTTGCATGCCGACTTTCTCGGCAGCCACGAAATCTATTCGCGCGGCTGCTCCTGATACGCCCCTAATATCGTCTGAAGTCTAGGGTGTCTGGGCTCTCCAAGCGCCCGAAATATGGTTCATATATTCGTTTATGTACTCACTAACTGGTGAGGCTGCTCCTAAAAGAAAGCAGGAGCCAGACCACACTGAAACGGCAGCAGCTTCCTTTGGCCCTGCCAAGTTACACGCTCGCGCTGCCACGTGCCGATTCTGAGTCTGTGTTCCCTCTTTTGGGCGAACAATCGCAGCAGAAGTCATTGCCCCCGCAGCCCTTCTAGATATGAGGCAATGGTGCTTCAGAGTATGCGCATATATCTGTGTACGTACACCTGGTAGGAGGACCTAGAGGCCCGCTGAGTGGCCTCTTCTCCGCCGACGCCCCCTCAAACTGCCCACTCTCTTCTCTCTCTTGAACCCTCGTGCACACGAAAGAACACTGCGAGACCAGTGCAACCGCAGAAAACGGTTGAAAGGCCAAGCGAGCTGTCGTCGGTAAGAGCCAAGAACGCCCTGTATAACGTGCCCTCCAGAAGGTTCCCCATCTCCGCTTTGCAGCCGATCTGCCAGCCCCAAAACGTCCAAGTTTCCATCCCTTCATCGCAACGCCTTACATTTCATCCCTGGGCAAATCGTCCATCTCTCTCTGCTTATCAGGGGGGAAGGGAAGGAGTGCCAGATACTCGGAGGCTAAGAAGCCGTTCTGCACGCTGGGGAACGCGGCTCTCCTTGCCTGGTGAGTCTTCTCTCGAATGTTTTCTAAAGCATCCTCGAAGTCTTTCACTGCTTGCCTCTGCCGAGGGTCCTCCATAAGCAGCGTCAAGTCCGCCTGCCTGTCTGGGAACTGCATGTACCGGAGCTGCGCTAGGAGATATCCTGCACGAAACAACTGCTGCTGAGCCTCGTAGACCTCGATCAGGGCGTCAAAGAAGGATGAAACGTCTCTTAGCCGCTTTTCAGTGGTTGCTGCCTGATCCCACTTGTCTCGCATGTCCTTCGCACCCAATTTCAAGTATCCAACCAACAGCTCGTTCGCGAGAGTCCACTGAGCGGCTAGCTGCGGCAGCTTTGCAGCCTCCTCCTTATAGGCCTCTCTGCCTAGCTTCGGATCCCCTAGCTTCACCTTGACGCTAAAGAAGTCGTTGTATCTCTCCAGGAGTTGCCCCAGCAGATACGCAAAGCGATTCATGTACTGCTGTGTGTCCCGCTGCTCCTCGTCGATGCTACTAAAAGTATTCAACAGGTCTTGCATGGCTTCCAGACACCCCGGCGGATAAATCTGCTTCTTCTGAGCATCCTTCGACGGGGAATACAACGAACGCAGTTCCAGCTTCAGGTCCGACTCCGGCATGCCCTGAATTTCGGCGACCTGCACCTCTAAAGAACCGGGGTTCAAGTTAGCACGCTGTTCAAGAGTGCCTCCCCCATAGAGCTCAGCGTCGTTCAAAGTTTCCTCTTGGAGGCCATCAGAAGCAAGGGAGCCGTAGGGTGACGCTGCAACAGCTGCTGCGAAGAGGGCAGCCAAACCTTGGGAAGCGCGAACCATCTTAGGCGGCCACTGTCCGTCGGGGGAGTTTCTCAAAGCAAACTAGATTCTTAAAAGCGAAAAAGATGGCAGAAATGGTACGGCGCAGATCTCGCTGCGGCGGCTCCGCTGCAGAGCGCCAACGCCCCAGCCACTTGGGAGATGTGCTGGACGACACGGCAGGCGGCGAATAAGAAGATGACGACAATACAGGCAAACTCAGAGTGGGTAGATTCAGCGCTCGAATGTGGGGAACCGAGGAAGGAAGGGACCACCGAGGGTCATACTTGCATGAAGCGCCTCTTTGTTTAGGCAGCCATCGTGGAGAAGAGGCTGCGTAGCGGCGAAGTACGGCGTCTCTTCTACGGCACTTCGCGTTCCCCCTACAGCTCGCGCAAGTAAAACGAATTTAGCAATATTATGCAGTTCGATCTCGAATCCCTTCGCGGTGCTCTAAAAAAAACAGTCGTCTGGCCAGCTTTCCCGGCAGGACAGCGCCGGAACCAGTGGCGATCGAGCAGCTGCTGGATCATCGCACGCCTGCCTCCCGGGATTTTTTTCATTTTATTTAGACTGAGACTACGCCTTTACGCGCAGTAGCTCATCTCTCTTATGAAGAAGAAGCTTTTGCGGGTGCTTGTTAAGGGCCACAGGTCAGACGTGTATGCCTGCGTAGATGAGCATTTAGGGTGCGCTACAAAGTCTTGCACGGGTGACGCGTCCGAGTTTGTTCGTGGCCTTCGTTCTTTTGTTTTGCCGAGAGGGGGGCCTGAGCTCCGCCTTGGGTGGAATTCATTGAAACTGAAGATCTAACTGAAGGTGTGAAGAAGGCGCGTCATTTAGATTATCGGCAACGGTAGTAGAGGAGGCGCTAAAGGCACCTTACCTTTGCCTGTGCTTTTCTTGTAGCGTTAATTTGTGCGCTAGTGCTCGAACTCCATGTGGCACGCAGCAGGAACACAAAAACTATGCCCCGGTTAGGAGGTGCAGACCAGTAACTGGGGGCTGCGTTGCGTCTTTTACAAATCGGAGGTGCAGCACTGCGTTTCCCTCCCTTCGAGGCCTCCGCTGGGGGTACTGAGTCTCTCACTGAAAACGTAGAGCCATCTGCATTCCTCGAATCTGAAATGAACATCAGGCGGGGCAGCTAGGGTGTGCCTAACTGCACCCTTCGAACGTCCAGCGCATTCATCGCCAGTTGCCCATAGCGTGCTCCAGCTTAGAGGCACACACAAGACGGATGGTGAAGTGTATCCATCTAAGGCCACGCTTGAACGCCGTTGACACACTGCTTGATCCAAGAGCCGATGGTTAGCTGTTTCTTGACTGAGAACCCCACACAGACTCCATAGCCTTCGTGTAGAGTAGGGCCCCCTCCCGAAAAAGCTGCTCGGTGGGCAGTCGATGCAGTGTCTGCATGCGTCGTTGCGTGCATGAGCGGAAACGACTTGCAGCTCAGCGCACCAGGAGTCAGGGACCAAGAAAGAAAGCGGTTCTTGTTGACGCAACATGAACTTCGTTTGGTTCCACAGACAACACAAGCGGTCCTTAGGCCCTTTCACGTTTCTCTTCAGTGGCGAGATCGAGGCGCGCCCGCAGCAGCTAGCCGGCTAGCTAGCTAGCTAGCTAAGCGCTCTTTCTCGAGCACACACACGCCGGCCTGACGACGGCGTGCTTGCGGGGCGCTCAGTGCCTTTTCTTTGCAGAGAAGGAAGACGTCCACCTCCTGTGTTTCGCTTCGGTAGCGCATGCGCTCATGAGGTCATCCTCGTGCGACAAAAGCTTATGGGGCCTGCCTGGAGGGGGTTCTGCTAGTTTTGCTGCAGCACGTTACGCTGGCTGCTGCCCCCTTCGCCACCGTGCAAGCAACGGCGGGTGATGAAGACACGGGTGCGTTGGTTGGCGCTGCTTTGGCCTTGCAAGAAAAAAACGCAAAAGTCTAAATGCCTCTGGGGAGCATAGTCAGAGGTCTACGGGAGTGTGGGAAACGGTTACCCCTAGCCGTCTTGCGGTTTTTTTTAATAGAGAGAGGCCTCTTGCTTCGGCAGCGCAGCGTGCAAGCACTAGACAGCCTCTAAGAGCCGCTTTGCTCCTCAATGCGCTGCAGAATTCACGTGTTAGTGATGGACGGTGGAGTCTGCCCGCAGACGGACTTGCGTTGGCTCATGTTTCCCTTCGGGAGTGCGATGGAAAGAGGACAAGGGGTTAGGGGAGAATGCAGAGGAGGCTGAACGTCGTGGATGCGAGGGTGCTGAAGCTGCATGCTCTGCGTCCTGATGGCTAGAAACAAGTGGTAGCAGTGGTGGTAGTAGTGGTGATGGTGATGGTAGTAGTAGTAGTAGTGGTGATGGTAGAAGTAGGAGTAGTGGTGATGGTAGTAGTAGTAGTAGTGGTGATGGTAGTAGTAGTAGTAGTGGTGATGGTAGTAGTAGTAGTAGTGGTGATGGTAGTAGTAGTAGTAGTGGTGATGGTAGAAGTAGTAGTGGTGAAAATGGTGGTAGTAGTCGTAATAGTGGTAGTGCTAGTGATGGTGATGCCTAAAGATGCTTCTGTTCGTGTGGGGGGCAAGGTGTGTTTCCCTCCAAAGCCTATCAAGAACAACCCCTCTGGAGTGCCTCGAAGTGTGTGTCTCTGTCGTAGAGAATGTTTCGGCAGAAAGCAACCCCGTGTAGCACGCGAGCTGCTGTCTTCAGCGCCTTGCGAAGCGCAACGCACAAGGATCAGTTGAATTGAGGAGTGCTGCTGCTTGGAAAGATGGTGGCATTCAATCGAGGAGGATGGTCCTGACCTGCATGCCGACAAGAGGAAACCAGATAGCAGCACACAAACACAGCAAAAGGCGACATTGAAGTGTACATACACCGCACGCGCTGCGCGCAGAAGACACAGCAGCGCGCGTGGCAGCCCCCTTCTCCCCTTTCTCACTCCCCCTCCCACTCCCCCCAGAGAAAGTATGCTGTCAAGCATCAAAAAGCACGACCAAGCGGGGAGACAGATGCCAGCAGCCTGCTCACTTCTGCCGTTGGAGTAGAGGCTGGGCAGATAGGACAAGGCACGACTTGGCGGATCGCTCTCCGCAAGCCTAAGCGGGAAATACATGCGCTGCAACGCATGCATGCGCAGCACACACGTGCCGCAAGGAGCAACCGAAGACGCATGCACGGCAAGCAGCGCTACTGGACGTAAACATGATCAGCTGACGCGGACCGCTACATCAACAAAAGGAAGGAGAGATATTCTCGCCAGCCTAAGACTCTGGTGGCTCCTCGTGACAGCCTGCCACATAAACGGGGGTAGAAAATTGCTGGAATGCGCAGGAGGGAGGGGGGATTGCTGGGGCAGAGAAGAAGTATATGGATGTGTATGGTTTTTCTGTATGTAGGTTTGTATGTCTACATGTATCTATATATATATATGTCTGTATGAAATATATGTGTATCTATATATATATATATATACATATGGATGTGTTTAAATGTCTCTCTCTCTCTCTATATATATATATATATATGTCTGTATGAAATATATGTGTATCTATATATATATATACATATGGATGTGTTTAAATGTCTCTCTCTCTCTCTCTCTCTTTATATATATATATATATATATATATATATATATATATATATATATATATATATATATATATATATATTTACATATATATATATATATCTCTCTCTCTCTCTCTCTCTCTCTCTCTCTCTATATATATATATATATATATATATATATATATATATGTGTGTGTGTTTTTTTTTTTTCCTTTGCACCCCGTCCCCCCGTTCCCTTCCGTTCGCCTCCCTTCTTCCAGGCAAGTGCGTTTCTCACGCGCAGACGACATGACCGCAGGAGAGCAGCTTCGCTGGATTTGTCTGCGTCGCTTCTTCTTTGCTGACAGCACAGGTGATGCAGGAGTGAAACTGCAGACGAGGTCCTAAGTCGAGCTCTAGCGGGAGACGCGATCCTTTTGCAGCGCATGCGCAGCGACTTTCCCCGCAAATCAGACAGCCGTAGATCGGCAGTCCTCTCCCTCCGTGACTGCTGCCAGAGTTGCTGCCGCCGACATCGTGTGGCAAAGCGCTGGCGGCAACAGCCGTCCTCGAAAAAATCGGAGAAGAGGCGTTTCGTCCGCTCACCAGCGTGAGGCTCCCCCTCGCAGGATGAAGCTGCGGAGTCTCCCGCTGTCTGAAAAACTCCCTGCCCAGGCTGCTTACAGCCTGTGCTTCCTCTCCCCTACCTCGCAGTCTCTCCCTCTCCGCAGCAGGAGAAAGCTGCAAAGAAGGAGGGGGGGGAGAGAGGCGACGCGAAGCCTCCTCTCTCCCCCCCTCGCGAAGAAGCGACATGCTCGAAAAACTTCTCCCTCCGCGAGGAGAACTACTGCCGCTCGAAAGTGGATTCAGCAGCAGCAGCTGCACTAACTGCACACACACGCACACACGCAGGAGGTTTAGACACAACGCACATCAACACATATACATACACAAACATAGTCACAAAAACCAACATTTCCACGAACAGACATATTCACAAACAGACGTATTCACAAACAGACATATACACAAACAGACATATTCACAAACAGACGTATACACAAACAGACATATTCACAAACAGACGTATACACAAACAGACGTACACACAAACAGACGTATACACAAACAGACATATACACAAACAGACCTATTCAAAAACAGACATGTACACAAACAGACATATTCACAAACAGACATATACACAAACAGACATATTCACAAACAGACGTATACACAAACAGACATATACACAAACAGACGTATACACAAACAGACATATGCACAAACAGACATATTCACATACACATACACAAACAGACGTAACCACGTACACATACAAAAACAGACGTAACCACGTACACAGATATACACAAACAGACAAATTCACATACACAGATATACACAAACATATACATACATATACACAAACTTATTCACAAACATACATGTTCACAAACATACATATTCACAAACAGACATATTCACAAACATACATATACGCACAAACATGTACACAAACAGACATATTCACATACACAAACAGGCATATTCATATACACAAACAGGCAAATTCACATACACAAACAGGCATATTCACATACACACATATACACAAACACAAAGAGGTATACTTACACAAACACAAACGCATACACAAACATACGCATACACAAACACATACACACACACAAACAGGCATATTCACATACACATACACAAACACAAACACAAACACAAACAGACATATTCACATACACACAGACACAAGCATATATACACAAACATATACACAAACACAAACATATGCGTACACAAACACAAACACACATATTCACGTACACAAACACATACACAAACACATACACAAACACAAACAGGCATATTCACATACACACGTACACAAACACATACACAAACACATACACAAACACAAACAGGCATATTCACATACACACACACACAAACACATATACACAAACAGATACACAAACATATACACATATAAACAAACACAAACACATACACAACCACACAAACACATACACAACCACACAAACACATACACAAACAGATACACAAACACACACACATATACACAAACACACGCACAAACACATACACACACACAAACAGACATATGCACATACACACAGACACAAACATATATACACAAACAGATACACAAACACATACACACACACAAACACAAACAGACACACATACACACACACAAACACAGACAGACACACATACACACACACAAACACAAACAGACACAAAAATATATACACAAACCTATGCACAAACAGATACACAGACACATACACAAGCAGACCCACATACACGAGCACATGCACAAGCACACATACACAAACACACACACATACACGAACACATACATACATACACATACTTACATACGCATACATATATACACGTGCAACCACACAGAGAGCAGCATACCTCCATCAACTTGGGGAGAAAGACACCTCCAGCGCAAACGAGGACTGCCAAGGGGCTTTCTTGCGGCAGTGCAATGCGTTGCATGCCATTAGCAACTTGACAGCAGCAGATGCAGTTGTTAATTTCCGAGTTGTCTCGTCCAAAGTCTGTGGATGCAGAGCGGCAGCCGGGGTGTTTCCCTGGCAGTTGTCTTGCGAAGGTGTGCTGCATGCGCGCGTCATCTGCAGCGTGTATTTCTTCACTTGCTGCCGGATTGCTGCTGCTGCTGCACTTGCAGCAGCAGCAATCCGAGACGCAGCAGCATGCACAAATTGCCGGAAAAACAAGCCCTCCCAGTATTCCTGCTGCAGCGTCTGCGTCTGATGGGGCCCTCGAGGAAGGAGTGCTCGCATGCTGCTCTTCGCTGCTGCTGTTGCTGGTAATGCTGCAGGTTCTACTCAGATGTTGTGCGGAGACGTTCGGCGTTGTTGTTGCTGCTGCTGTCGCCGCTGATGAAGCGCTTGGACGTGTCGGAGTCTCAGCAGGTGCTGCCGGAGGAGGAGCTGCCCGCATGAGAAGTGCCTCTTCTTCCTCGCGCGCAGTGTCTGATCGAAGGAAGCATGCAGCAGCAGCAGCCGGCAAGCAAGCAGGAGCAGCAGTTACAGCGCGTTGCATCTTTTGTCTGCAAAAGGGAATTTACTCATGCGGTCTGTCTGCTGCACGGAGGCGAAACAGCTCTCACGGTAAATAACACACAGTACAGAGAGGGAAGAAAAGAGAAAGAGAGAGAGACAAACACAGAAAGAAAGAGAGGGAGAAAGAGAAAGAAAGAAAGAAAGATGAAGAAAGAAAGAAAGAGAGAAGGAGAGAGAAAGAAAGAAAGAGAGAGAGAGTGTGTGTGTGTGTGTATGTCAGAGAGAGTCTGAGAGCAAGTGTAACTCAGACAGCAAATGAGACTGAGACAGCAAACAAGCATGAGAGAACAAGTGAGTCAGGTAGAAAGTAAGTGAGACAGCAAGTGAGACTGAGAGAACAAATGAGTGAGACTGAGGAGCGAACAAGCGAGAGGATAGATTCCTGTTTGTTGTCGAGCAACATATCTGCCAGGAGGGCTGGCATGAGCGTCTTACGACTACTTGGCTGCAATTGCAGCTCTTTCGCGCTTACGTGATGTTAAAAATCTACTGCGATTTAAACTGCGGCTTGCACTTCGTGTGTAAGGCGCTGTGGGAGGAAAAGGGGGAGCTCGCTGATGCAAACGTCTCCCCGCAGCGAGTTGTTGCCTTTGCTGTTGCCGTTGTTGTTGTTGCTCTAGTTGTTGTTGCTGCTCTAGTTGTTGCTGTTGCTGTTGCTGTTGCTGCTCCAGCTGTTGCTGCTGCTCTGGCTGTCGTTGTTGTTGCCTTTGCTGTTGCCGTTGTTGTTGTTGCTCTAGTTGTTGTTGTTGTTGCTCTAGCTGTTGCTGCTGTTGCTGCTCTCGCTGTTGCTGCTGCTCTGGCTGTCGTTGTTGCTGCTCTCGCTGTTGCTGCTGTTGCTGCTCTCGCTGTTGCTGCTGTTGCTGTTGCCGCTCTCGCTGTTGTTGCTGCTCTCGCTGTTGCTGCTGTTGCTGCTCTCGCTGTTGCCGCTCTCGCTGTTGTTGCTGCTCTAGCTGTTGCTGCTGCTGTTGCCGCTCTCGCTGTTGCCGCTCTCGCTGTTGATGTTGTTGCTGCTCTCGCTGTTGCTGTTGTTGCTGCTCTCGCTGTTGCCGCTCTCGCTGTTGTTGCTGCTCTCGCTGTTGCTGTTGCCGCTCTCGCTGTTGTTGCTGCTCTCGCTGCTGTTGCTGCTCTCGCTGTTGCCGCTCTCGCTGTTGCTGCTGTTGCCGCTCTCGCTGTTGCTGCTGCTCTCGCTGCTGTTGCTGCTCTCGCTGCTGTTGTTGCTCTCGCTGCTGTTGCTGCTCTCGCTGTTGCTGCTGCTCTCGCTGTTGCTGCTCTCGCTGTTGCTGCTCTCGCTGTTGTTGCTGCTCTCGCTGCTGCTGCTCTCGTTCACCTTGCTGCTGTTCGGTTTCTTCCGGAGAGCCGCTGCCTCCTGTTGAATGCTCTTCTGCAGCAGTTTGTGAGGACTGCCACCTCGTCGAGTCTTCTTGCTGCTGCTGAGTCTCATGCAGACGATTAAGATAGAGAGAATGCAAAGCTCCCCATGGTCTTAAAGGCTGCCCTTCCTCATAATAATACGGCATGGCAAGCTCAGATCCTGAAACATAATACTCCACAGTTCGCCTCTGTGGTGATAGTCCAGCACGCCTCAGCTGAAGCATCCGCTGCTCCTGCGACACCTCTGCATGCAGCCGTGGAAGCTCCTGTTGTTGTCTTTGTTGTTGTCTTTCTTGTTGTCTTTGTTGTTGTCTTTCTTGTTGTCTTTCTTGTTGTCTTTGTTGCTGCTGCTGTTGTTGCCTTTGTTGTTGCCTTTGTTGTTGCTGCTGCTGTTGTTGCTGTTGCTGTTGTCTCTGTTGTTGCTGCTGCTGTTGTTGTCTTTGTTGTTGCTGCTGCTGTTGAGTCACATCCACGCGTGAGCGAAGCGGCTGCCTCACGCCTTCTTGCAGAAGTCTCGACGCTGTCTCCGAGGGCATGCCTCTTGATACTCGCGCATCTCCGAGCGCCGTTGCATGCGCGCCGATGCCAGAGAAATCTCTGCCTGAAACTGCCGCCTTGCTGGGGTGTTGCTGCAGCTGCAGGGCAGTACGATGCCGCAGCAGCTTCTGGTGATCCTCAAGTTGGAGCCAATAGACGCGACGTTGACTTCTTTCCAGCTGTTGCAACTCCCAAAGGGCTGCCTCCTGCTGCGCCTGCAGGTGGACAGGTGAAGTGAGGCTTCTTCCATCCGCTGAAAGTCTCTCCGCATCGAGAACCACCTCCGATTCGCAGAGGGGGGAAGTTCCCCAGGCATCACGATCGCTCCCTTGTTGCTCGTGCTGCAATCTACGCAAAACAGCAAAACTCCAGAAAAAATACAAGCCAGCAGCGCATGCGTACAGTGCGCTGTTTTGACCCCACCAGGTCTGACGACAACAGCAGCAGCAGTAGGCGAAGAAAAAGGAGAAAAAGAAGAAGACGGACAAAGAAAAAAGAAGCAAAAGAGAAAGAGAAGACTGAAAACGAGAAAAAGAAGATAAAAAAGAGGAAAAGAAGAAGAACAAAGAAAAAATGAAGCAAAAGAGAAAGAGAAGGCTAAAAAGAGAAAAAGAAGACTGAAAACGAGAGAAAGAAGATAAAAAAAGAGAAAAAGAAGAAACCGCCAGCAAAACGCCACGATGAGGGCCCTAGAAAATGTGCAGCCGCTGTGTATAGAAGATGACGCAGGAGGAAAGGCAGAAAGAAAGAAAGAGAGAAAGACACACCCACACAAACACACATGCCAAATTTACATGTGTGTCCGTTTGTGTGTGTGTTAAGGTGTAGCAACACATGCCACATTCATGACATCCTGCGGCTGGTGCTATACCGCCATCTGGCACATGCTGCGTTGCCAGATGCTCAGCAAGAACGTCTAGCGCTAAAGCGAAAACAGTCTCGCAACGAAGGCAACAGCAACAGCAACAACAACAGCAGCAGCAGCAGCAACAGCAACAACAACGGCAGCAGCAGCAACAACAGCAACAGCAGCAACAACAGCAACAGCAGCAACAACAGCAGCAGCAACAACAACACCAATGCGCGTGGCATGTTTAGAGGCACCAGGAACAACAACCCCACCACCCTTCCTGCCCGCGTGAGACGCAGCAACAAAGCGGCGGCGTGTTGTCACCTACCTGAAGACGTCATGCCTTGCTGTAGCCGCAGCAAAAATCTGCCGAGACACTCTAAGGCGTCCGTGAATTTCCGCAAGAAGCCGCAAAAATGCCTCACGTTCCTCCTCTGCCACTTGAGAAATTCGAGACAGCGGTAGCATTTGCCGCTGTTGCTGCTGACGCCGCAGCAGCATGTGATGCACGAGCAACCCCAAAGTGCGCATCTCACGCAGCAGGACGGAGTTTTCATGAAAATTATTGCATGCAGCAGCTACAGTGTCATCATCTGCAGCTGCAGCAAGAGGTCCAGTTGCAGTTGCAGCAGCAGCGTCTGCAACAGGTGCAGCATCTGCTGCAGCAACAGCTACGACAGCAGGCACAGCTGCAGGCACAGTTGCATCTGAGGTGGCGGCTGCTGCTGCTCCTGCTGCTTCGCATGAAGCTCCCACTTCTGCTCCTTTTTCTGTTGCTCCTGCAACTGTTTTTGCCTCCACGCGCATCGCATTTGAGGCTATGACTCCTGTGCAACCTTCCTCAAGCGCTCCTGCAGTCTTGACCTCCCCTGCTGCTCGTGCAAATGCTGCAAGATCACTTTTTTCTTCCTCTGCTGCATGCATGCCACTCCCCTCCCTGGAGGGGAGTGGCATGCATGCAAAGCCTTCCGCAGCAGCGGTGGCTGTAGTTTCTGCGAAAGAGGAGAGAGCCTTCTCGTAGTCTGTTGAAGCGGCTGTGGATTGAACTGCAGCAGCTGCCCTCCGTCTTCTGGGGGATGAACCCCCTGGAGTCTGCAGCTGCGTTTCCGTGGCTTCAGAAACTTCAAGACGCGCAGCTGCCAAAGCCTCTTCTAGCTCCCTTGCTGCTGCAACAGCTGCGGCTACATAGTTGCTTTTCTCGGGGAGGGGCAGCAGCAGCAGGTTCTTCAGCGCGGCAGCCAGAGAGTCAGATCTGACAGAACGATCCTCTGCGAGACGTAGAGTCTCCGTCATCATCATGCGAAGCCTTCGAGAGGCGTCCTCTCTGCAACACAGACAGCCAGCCAGCCAGCCAGCCAGCCAGCGCACAAGTCGCATATGCATGATCAACAAACACATCGCCCCCTAAAAGAGGAGGCAGCAACAGATGTTGAAGCGCATGTCATCCTCGTGATCTCCAAATGGAGCGCTCTTGTCGTAATGCCCCCTCAAGCCACACGGCTGCTCTGCAGTCTCTCAGAGGCTTTCTTAATCACCACCGAGCTCTCGGGGAGAGAGGAGGGAAGAGGGAGAAAAGGGTTAGCCAATGTGTTTTTGCCCAAATACCCCCACACGAAACACGAATCCACGTAAGACTCTATTTCTAGCGCTTTTCTTTTTCCCCCCCTTCCTCCGGCGAGCTCTGCACACCTGTCACGCTTTCTCAAGAGCTCAAGAAGGGCAGCAGCAACTCGAACGTTTTCCTCCACGACTGCCGAGGGGGGAGGCAAAGCCCCCTCCCTCTGCAGCAGCACTGGAGTGGCTTCTGGGAAGCCACTCCAGAATTCTCCCTCTTCGCATCCCTGCTGGCGCAGCAGCAATTCCTCGCGCTGCAGCTGTGCCTCCTGCTGCTGCAGGACGGGCAGAAGCTCCTGAAGCTGGAGAAGACTGCACATCGTGAAGGCTGAAGCATCTGCAACGGCTTGTCGCGTAGGGGGGCCCCCCCCCCTTGCTGCTGCTGCCTCTGAGGCACTGGGGAGGGGCCCCCCTCGTGACACGTCAAGTCGTTCTCCCTCTGCTTCCTCGATAGACAGCGGATACGCAAGCGCAGCGGCTGCCATCGCCCATGCGAAGGCAGCTCCTCCCCCCCAAGGCTGTGCGAACGAGAATTTCGCTGCAGCCTCTTCTTCAGCGATCGGCGGCGCATGCCGCTGCATGCCAGGAGTTGCGCTTTTATCTGCAGAATCCTCTTGACCAGATGCCGAGACACAACAGCGAAGATTAAGGCTAACACCAGAACCTCCTGTTGTTGTTGCAGCGGCTGCTGCTGTTGCTGCTGCAGCAGCTGTTGAGGAAAGCTCCCGCGGATGTGTCGGAAGACCGATACGCGGCTGCATGCGTTGCTGGCTCTCTGCTGCCTCCGTCGAGGGGGCTGTCGCGATCACAAGCCTCGGATGCCACGCAGTGCTGCAGAAGCTTTCGAGGGAGGGAGGCTTTCTGAATTTAGACGTGAAGGAGAGGCGTTCATTGGGAAGACGGCACAGTCTTTTAGCTCCCCTGCAGCATCTGCGCTGAACGCCCTCGCTATCTTCCATCGCAGAAGCTGCAGAAACCTCCAAGCTCGCGATCGCTCCCGCTGCCGCAGCGCTCTTGTCTGCTGTCGCTCCCGCTGCCGCAGCGCTCTTGTCTGCTGTCGCTCCCGCTGCTGCAGCGCTCTTGTCTGCTGTCGCTCCCGCTGCTGCAGCGCTCTTGTTGTCTGCTGCGTGAGAGGAAAATCTTTCTTTTTGTGGAAGTGTGTCTGGAGCACCGAGAGGCGGCTGCCTCAAAAACGGCAAGGCAGGAGCGCCAAACGGCCTCATTGCCTGTGCCTCAGTAGCATCCAGCAGAGCTATCCATGCCGCGTGGCTGCAGCAGCTACTGCTGTTGCTGCTGCTATGGCTGCTGCTGCTAAGACTGCTGCTGCTGCGACTGCTGCTGGCTTCTGAGAATGCCAAACCGCTTCGCTTCCACGAAAGAAGCGACGCACTGTCTCCACACACAGTGCGATAAATTGCGTTGTTGTGAGCCCCTACAGTGCAGCTGCGGCAACGCAAAACGAAATTTCTATCCTTCCGGAAGAGACTGCCTTCACCTGCTAGATGGCGCTGTAGGCTGTCATCCCGTTGGTGCTCCTGTTGTTGCTGCTCTTGATAGTGTCGCTGCTGCTGTTGGCGATCCAGTAGTTGCTGTTGAGTTTGCTCTCGTTGCTCCTCTTGTTGCTGTAGCTGCTGCCGTTGATGCTGTTGCCTTGAGCGCTGTTTTCGAAGGAGGTGCCACACGACTCGCCGCCTCTCATTGCGTCCAACGCGAAGCATCCAAAATCTCAGAGTGGTCGGTGAAGCATGCAGCTGCAGCAGCTGCTGCTGCTGCTGCTGCATGTCAGGAGAGCAGCAGAGCGCCTCCGCGTCTGCGGCTGCCGCGGCAGCAG